AGCTCTTGAGCTCTCTTGCCTAGTAATTGCCAACTTAAAACTTGGAGAAAGAGTTTTGGGGAATTACTTTTCAAATGCGCAGCTATTGAGCAGTAGTTCTAGTTGAAATAGCTTAATGTTCCAGACATGAATTCTGAATAGGAGTGAGAAAACAAACCTGCTTGTAATTGACAAAATGTGCCTTTCCTATTGGTTGCACGATATTTTTTTATGTGAACAAGAGAGAAGAGGAAGGAAAATTAGTGAGATTTTAATGTTTATAATATCTCTAACTTTCTGCCATACTGCCTTTTCAAACAATATGATATGTAATTCACCAAACCTGTATGAGGAGACCCAACAGGCTTTGGAGCCACTCACTTCAGAGCTTTTCTAAATGCGGGCAAATGCCAGTGGCCGTAGGGAAGAACAACATGGAGCGGATGCTCTGAAGTCCCTAGGTGATTGGGTTGGCATCGTAATGGCTTTGTCACTTGGAAAAGGAAGTGGAAATGCTGAAAGAGCTGGCACTGTGACTTACTGCTCTCCAAAGTTCTCGGGAGCTATGGCAAAGGTGCTACAAAGACCTGCGTGCTGGGCTTTCAGGCAACAAAACAAGTGTTTGCTTGTCACGTTTCCATGTCCCAGGCAAACATGGAGAAATTAAAAATGTAGTCTGATGCACAGCATACAAAACTTTCAAGGGCTGGGCCACATTGAAAAATAGCATTATTTTGACTAATCAAATCAAATTATGCTAATTCCTAAATGACCAGTGATGTGTAGTATTGTCATCAAGACAAGACGTCGTGTTCTGGGGAGCTGCTTATATCGCTTATATCATGAGTGAATGATACCAGCCTGCTTTGTGTTTCAGCAGTCTGGAGGTAGCTAGTGAAGCAAGCACTGGGCAGCAGGAGAAGCAGAGTTGATATTGTGGGATAAAACCAAGGACACTGCATTGTCTCAGATTTTATCAGAGATGAGGACATGAGATGAGATGGGAGGCAAATGGCCAGTAATTGTGTATTTCTCTGGATTTGAGTGCTTGACTCTTTCAGATAAGTTGAACAGTTTGATCTGCAGTCAAGGGGAGCAACATTACTGAAACACAGCCAACAAACACCCTCAATAGTGATATTGCAATGCATCTTGGGACTCTTCAGTTTGTCTTTTCCAAAGCAAAATTGCCTCCAAGAGTACAGTGAGGAGAAATTTGGTAAAACTTCAGGCAGTTCAATAGCAGTTGGATCTCTTGTCCAAAAGATAGTGAGTGGAGTTGATGGTTTCTCTGAGAGCATGGTGGACAGTAGGTTTCCAGGTCCACGTACAATGTGGTGGCCTGTCAGCATTTGGGAGGACACTAGGTCCTGGAGTGTTGAGAGAACACAAAATACAATCCACAGTGATTCCACAGCACAGTTTGTAGATAGTATCTCTACTTTTACCTTTGGAAAATTAGGTGTTTTCCTTCTTGGCACTAATTCCCATTAAATACCCAAGTATAAGCCAGTAATTTCTACAAATTTAAAATAAATTATTTTGTGATAAGAATTTGGTGTGTTTTGTTGATTTAAAAAAAGAAAGTCTAAAACCTTGACAGTGTCCCAGCTTCATCAGATTATTAGACCATGTCTACAGCGTCATTAATGAGATCTATCCAGATTTGTCACTAAAAATAGCAATGGACAAATAGTAAGTGTTCAATGTAGAGGGTCACCTTGGAGCAGTTACACTCTCCTGTAACGTCAGTCTCTTTTTACTCAATTTCACTAAAGTAGTCATCTGGCTGTAAAGTGGTTCAGGCAGTAATGTAGGATGTCATATATATTCCTTTAATTACTATGATCCTCCTTGTAGCAATTATAATTTGCTTTATTGCAGATAACAGCAAATTGGTAGATAAAAGTCACTAGACAGATATGAAAAGTTGTACATTGTAGCTTTTAGATTGAAAGTATAGCAGCTGGTTTTTGGTTAACTTTGTTTTTTAAACTCAAAGATTATTTTGGAACATCAATTAAAAAGAAACAAAAGACAGCAAGAATATTTTATAATAACTGTAGTGCATAACAGAATTCATTTGTCTCAGTGGTAGACAGTACATGAGACGTAGGGTTTCCTTAATTGCAGAGTAAGAAATCTCTATATGAATGCCAGAAGCATCGAAGCATCTATTGAATGCTCTTTCTCAGAGTATGTGAGAAAACTTTCCTTATTGCTTGCATTGCTCCAAACAGACTGTTAAACTCCTGTGTTCCTTTTGACAGCATGCCAATTTTGCTGCACTTATTTGTCCACATATGGGAAATTTTTGGTGGGACTCAGTTGCTATCCCTGAGTAGAACCCATTTCTAGTGTATAGTTGTTAGGTCAGTTTATGGCCATTACCAGTACTTTTTTTTTTTAACATTCAGAATCATATATATTGAATAACCTCTCTGACGTCTGTCTTTGTAAAATTTGTTTTTCCTTCAAAAGTGGTAATGGGAAGTGGAAACATAGCTCTGTCAAATAATTGAATTCACAAAAATACTGTGACTTTATTGTTTCTTGTACCAGAAGCCCATGGAAACAAATTACTATACCGTATTACTATTTTTATCCCATTTATTTGGCAAAGTCAGTGTATGCAAAAGGCAAATATGGCTTCAAAAAGACTTCTAGGCGGTCATTTTTATGTTAAAACCCAAACAGTACATTGATGAGAGATGGCAAGCCCCTTCCTTCTGTATGGCACATCATCAGTATATAATTCATCAAACTGAAATATACTTTAAACAAGGAGGAAATCATTGTTGCTTTTTATTTAGACCCTGAGCACAACTGTCCCCACAGTCTGTTTATGGTTCATTATCCTCAACCTAATAGATAACAGAGAATTCCCTTGCCCTCTCCAGTGCTGCTGTGAAAGGTGAAGCCTTCTTTTATGCTTTGAGTGTGTCCTTACAGTCTTATCCACACGCTGCAGTTCGCTTCCGACTCTCGTATGCTGTTTCATATACCAGCAGTCATGGCAAGGCTTGGAGGCAGCTGCTGGCAGTGTGGGTGTCCTAAGGCGAGATGTTTAGCTTTGCTCCCGTCCTGTTGTGTACATTGTATAGGCTGTTCTACTGCATATAGGTGTTGGCTGGATGGGCCAGCTTTCGTTCTTCCTGGTGGTTAAAGGAACAGGACAGGCTACTTGGTTCAGGGGTTTGAACTGTTGGGTTTTTTTAAAGTGATTATGAGGTTTGCTTATACACATTTTTATTTGCAATTACTGTATCAGATTGTTAATACTTAAAAACAATTTAGTGAAGGCGTATTTTAGAATTGACTGAGGCATGAGATGAAACTGGAAAAAAAGAAGAGAGATTATCAGAGGCAGGTGTTTCATTGTAAGGGAAGGAATTATTTTATCAAGTTTGAAGCCGTTTACCATGTCACTGTAATCAGTTGCTGACAATATTAAAGTTTAGCTTCTGATGCCTTTCAGTGCTTTATCAGGGGACTTGACATTTGTGTAAGGTATCAGTAAGGACATAAGTACATAGGTACGGTTGCCTTTGTTGATGCCAAGGCATCATAATCCAGAAAATTTATGGCAGAATTTCAACTTCAGGATTGCCAGAAATAAAATTAATCCAAGGTGGAAGTGTCCTTTTTGAGACTTCAAATCCTTCTTGAAATTGCTTTTCTCATTGCCATCCTGCTTTTTTGCAACTAAGTGTTTACCATTTTTGGAAAACATTGGCTGTACTAATATACCAAATTCGCTTTTCCCTTTCTCATTGACTTGAAATTGAGGTTAACAAAGTCAATTCCAAGGAAGTAGTACATACAAGTAATGCTTTTTGTCCCAAAGAATAGCACTGACTTGAACAGTATGGAAGTGCTGATGTTCTTGCATTGTGCAAGAGCCCATAATGACAAAGTATTCTTGTCAGAGTATATAATGAAACTATAAATTGTTTTCATGACTGCTGTGATATTTGGTCTCTTGCAGAGCACATTCAGAAAGTATTTAGTGCCATGTCTTATGTGACTAACATCAGAAATAGAAATATATGCTTTAGCGTGAGCAGTGTCCAGTGAAGAAGAATCTGCTGATTGAACATCACGTTAAAAGAAAAAAGTTGTGTGAAACTTTTGATAGGTAACGTTCAGCCACTGCAGGAAAGGATGACATACACGTTACTCTCTCGTCCTCTCCATGGGGAAGGGCAATGAAGCAGATCAGACTAACACAGAACAGCAGAGATTCTGCTTTGCTTTGTTCTGCTTTGCAAGTTCTGCTTTGCTTTGTGCGTGAACACCTTTGTGCCTAAGAGGCAGTGGCTGGAGGGGGAAATCTCACCTCTGCCTTCCCTCCTCATTCAGATGTTTGCAATATTCCTGCATTATTTCCCATTCTTTTGACTCAACAAGCACGTGCGTAGAGTATCAAGCTGAATTAGTTTCTTTTACCTGTGTCGATAGGGTGTCACACTGTAATTGTTTCAGACTCAAGGTAAATTTTGATTGCCACTAACGCTACCCTTTCTGCTGTAACATGGTCCTGTTTCACTGTCTGGCTGGGAGCCTGAACCCGGAGGACATTGCTGGTAGTGGGCAGGAGGGAAGGGGGAATGAGGTGGGAAATGCTGGTTGCTAACTGAGAGCTGGGTATTGTGGACACAAGTAGAAAAGGGAGCTTGCAAAGGTTTCTTATAGCAGCCTTCCAAGGGCTGCGGTTCAAGTTGTGAGGTTCCTCATACTATTGCACATGAGCAGAAAGAGGAGAAACTTTAATTGCTGAATTTTTCTAACTCATGGTGGTCAAGTGAGCATGTGGCCTTACAAATGAATTTCAGGCTTCTGATACAACAGATTTCTTTCCTGTGATTGTTATTAATAAGCTAAGATGACTTGTGGCAGACTTTGATCTCGTCCAGTCTTCCATCTTTTCAGAGAGAAACTTGAGCCTCTTCAATCTAGTACTAGCTGGGGTAGAAATGGCTTGTTACAATTATGTTTTTTTTTCTCTTCTGCAGTATCTGGTGTGCAAAAGGAAGCTCGAAAGTAAAAAGGAAGCATTGCTAATCCTTTCCAAAGAGCTGGACACCTGTCAACAAGAAAGAGACCAGTACAAGCTTATGGCCAACCAGCTGCGGGAACGACACCAGTCTCTGAAAAAGAAGTATCGGGAGCTGATTGTAGGTTGTTCTTTATGAATACTGTATAACTGGGGGACAAGGGTGAACCTCAAAAAAAATGGAAAGAATTCCATAATGACTGCTGTAGAAATGTTTTGGTACTTGTTGACGGTAGTCCTGCAGTTGTACAGCCTTGATCATATTATTACTCATTTGTTCCGCATTGATGAGGTAGTGCCTGTTGTATAAGACACAGAAAGACAGTGCATGCTCGGAGGAAATTAGTTTCAGTCATAATTCCATTTAAAAACTGACTGCGGTATTATTATTCCACAGCAACCTAATGTACCGTTATGAAAAACAATGCAACATAGATTTGTAATGACCTGCTGTTCTAGAAATGTAAACAAATCTTCAGCCTTAGACAATTTTTTGAGTTGAAATTAATGTTACTGGTATTAATCAAGATGCAGTATTTTAGAAACAATTTTGATAACATTTTAGTTAACAAAATTTGATCCACAAAGTTAATATAGTTGCTGGCTTCAGAAATAAGTTGCCAATAAAATATGTCCATTTATTTGTAGGATGGGGATCCATCCCTTCCGCCTGAAAAGAGAAAACAGGTAGGATTTATTTTTCAGTTGACATTATTTATCTGCTACAAAAGTACTTTGCAAAAGTATGAAAATATTAGCTAAGGAATCTGGTAAAAAGCAAGCATTTCTGTCTATTGAAAAGCTCAGTCTTTAAACTATGGCTTCTTGTGCTTTTGTCTAAACATGTTTCACTCTAAAATATCTCCACTATCATTAATTAGAATATATGGCTATTGCTTTTATGTTCACCTGTGACTGAAATTGGTCAGTGTACAGAGACTTGAGATCGTTCTCCTTGTTCTTTATCCTTCTTGTATTGAGCCCTAAAATGGGTTCACGACAGGACTTCTCATACTTAAATGCAGTCTGGGATTGCATTGTCTGCATTCCATAATTGTTAATTTATTGTTGTGAGTACTGTTTTCCATTAGGTACTCTCTCGGGTCACTTGGGCTCTATGAGTTATAAATGGTGAGAACAATGGTAATTGCATTTTATGGTTCCCCTGAAAAACTTTTTGCCTGCTTACGTTTTTTTTGTTCTCAGAAATCCACGTAGTGTGTCCCTGTTGTGGAGTGTTGGTTGTCACATCTTCAAATTATCTTAATTTTTAGAAAAAGATGGCACCCAAAACACAATATGTGAGCAGGGAGAGGAGGACAACGCAAAAGAACAAAAATTGTTACTGTAATTGCTAGTCCTGAAAGTCTTTTAACCATGTTTAAAACATGGTTATTGCATTCCCTTAGTGGATCAGAAGTTTTACTCATCATTCTTTCCCT